GTTTTTTATTATAGGCATGATCATGTCTAAGTGAACAATAGCCAACTTCTTTGTCATATTCTCAATTTTTTTATTCGTTATATGACATAATCTACTCAACATGGAAATTCCTTCACTTTCGATCACGTTCATCAGCCGAATAAACGCCTCGAAGTGATCTCCCATTGTTACACAGTTCTCCATCACTTCGCGCAATGATCGGTGTACGGCAGTACAGCTATAGTTATTACGTATAAAGGCCATAAAACGGTTTGTATCTTGTAAACTGGTTGCCAGCGAATTTCCAGTGAAGAAAATATTATGGCTCAGCTGATCAGTAACCGTAAAAGGTGGTATCATATTGTATCGTTGATAATCTATATTAACTTCCGGGACATTTACACATCTCATTTCAGGGTTAACATCCCGAGTATAGCACGTAGTGTTTGAAAACTCCAACTTCATAAATACCTCCTCGGTTTTGATACAAATGTCGAATGGTTTCAAGTGTGATAGTTTGACAACGGTGAAGACTAGCACAGTGCAACAACACAGATTTGTAACAAAAACATATTTTTTTAACTTATATTTGTTATTTTTCAAAAAAGGTTTTTCACAAAATTATAACCGCTCACTACCAAGTGTAGACTGCGAATCGTCGTTATAACAGCTTACGTGGCGATCCAAAACACTTTTTACAGTTACATTGGATTTGTTTCTAACGGTAATAATGTTGGTAGTGGGGGTAGGTTGGATTTTTTAGATAAACTTGAACAAATAAAAAGGCGACGTTGGATAGGCACAATGTTTGATGTTCGTTTCGTGTACTTCGTTCCCTTCTCCGTCCTTCCAAAAACAAAGGAAACAATTTCTTTTTTCTGTTTTTCACCGTACAAGCTACACGACGATGATTTTTTACCGTAACTTTAATATCCAAGAATTCGCAATGGCGTATAAAGTTTTTACAATTATTTAAATGTAAATAAAAAAAATTGATTTACGCATGTGTAGCGATATTGGACTATTATGGTACAATCTTGCGATGTGGGAGGTTATAACTTACTTGGTTGGACCGTTTAACTGAGTTTGAAAAAATTGAGTTTGATACATCTTATAAACGCTTAATTTTCAATTTTTCCTAATCTGTAATTTTGATAGAAAGTCGAATCTATGTATGCCTTAATAAGTATCAAAGGGTATTGGGATTTGGGAGTGTCTTAGTTACACACTTTTCACATTATTTTCATGTAAGCTAATGGACAAGTATAATAACTATATAATTAGTTTGACTATAACAAGTCAAATTAAACACTCTATCTGTGTACTGAATATTTTTTTTTTATAAGACTTTAATTATTTCTTTATTGTATTAGTCTTAATGAAGTATTACTTATTAATTAGGTATAAGATTTCTAGGCAGAAAAATAATTAGAAAAAAATATTAAAATGTTTTGTCGAATTGCAAGATATTATGCAGAACTAATAGTAACACATATTTCGGCGGCCAAAAAGAAAATACATATAATATAATTTTTCAAACTCTACGTCACGCGTTTCTGTAATAAAGGTATTCTTATAGCTGATGTGTGCAACGCGAGCTAAGGCTTTCTTTGTTCAATGTCATGTTTGAAAAACTGTTGTTATTCGTGCGCGTTTGACAAAAACAATACGGTATAGTTTCTAGTACAAGGTGATTTCGGCTGTACAGAATGAAAAAGACTCTTTTTTTTATTTATAATTTTATGGTATTTAGTTCACCCAATTTTGATAACATTTTTTCACAAAAAAAGCCCACATCGTAGTAAAACCAATAGCATCTCTCATCTCTGCATCGAAGCTAACCCTTAGGTCGAGGTGTCAATTTTTTTTTTTCAAAAATGATTATCATCCAATTAAAAATGTCCGGTGTACAATATAAGGTCCATAGAAAATTGATTCGCTATTAGTTGAAGTCTAAGTACTGTTAAGAGTTGTGGCACACAGAAATGTTCAAAAGATTTAACCTCAAAAAATAGTCAATTTGTAAGGGTTTTGAGGGTTTAGTAATGTTTGTTGTCATCTCACTTAACGTTTATATGGTGTCGTTATTCTCCCCTTACTACGTATGCTAGGTGAGTCGTCCACCCTTATATATTATCTCATATTTATCTATTCATCTAAATCCCTCTTTGTAATTTTTTTTTTTGTCCAGTTTCACTACCACTAAATCACGCTCAACTCATCACGTCTAGTCCATCTAACCTGACATTGTAAAAAAAAAAAATATGTAAACATTAATAGCAAACTTATTGTAAAGTATTCCTTTAAGTTAATATTGTAAGCGGCGCTCTGTGCTGTTCTTTATTCTTTCCTTACTGTCTTTTGACTGTACGTCGCAACTTGTATTTATTTACTACTGTTGTTGGCTCTACTCCTGAGCTTAATCTTATCTATACTCATTCGTTATTATACCAACACCACTGTCTGCCATAAATCATAGCTGGAATTTAAATCAATTGGAAACGATTTGGAAAAACATGAATGACACACGTCAAAAACACATCACCAGACTATTGAAGATTTATTTTAGACAATAACACATAATTGTACAGATTTGTGATTTTGATAATAATTTTATTAAAGAAACACTTATGATTTAATAAATAAATTTAAAAAAAAGAGACAATATACTTATTGAGTAATTATTAATTATTAAACAAAACAATAAGTCAAATATATACAATAATATTGATAAGCTACATATATATATATATATAATATACTGTCAGCATTTATCAATATTTAACATTTCTCATAAATCATAAAAATTACTATAATGTTTACTTTAATTATTTAATTTGGTCATAAATAATATTAACAAGATATTTAGATTGAAACGAAATTACAATAATAAACAAATATGAAACACCCAAAAACAATAATACTGAAATGAAAAATAAAAAATAATACAAAAGAACGTATAAAAAGTATGTAAAGTTACACTTACCAAAAACAACAATACTGAAATGAAAAATAAAAAATAAAAAATAATACAAAAGAGTGTATAAAAAATATGTAAAAAAGTAAAACATAAAAAAGAGAAAAAAGCATGTAAAGTTACACTCCGGGCAAGCGTGATATTTTAACGAACGGACAATGGTAGAACGGTAAACGTAGTAGCCATCCAGCGGTCATTGGCTTGACAGCACCAACAGCCGGAGTCGCGATGCCACTGCGTCACCGTCATACTTGCACTTGTCCGTCACGTAAAAATCAGTCTTCCGTTTTGCTCGGATCTGGAAATTACCAGATACGCTTAGATTAGATTGGAATAATGTCGGCGGCCGGGGGATTGATAAAAAATAATAATAATTAATAATAATAATTACAGCAACAGCAAAAGACAAGTCTACCGACTACTCTCAGTCGTTGGCCGGTGGTTTTTTTCGACCGTCGCCAGAAGCTCAGGCCAGGCAGGGTCGACTCGGTGATTTTCGTCGGTTTCTCCTTCAGATTTCGCAATGATTTTCTTGGTTTTCGGCAGAACAAAAGCGACACGCGCCAATGACGGCACTGCGTTAAACGGCAGCTCAGCGAACAACCGCAGCCGGGTGGATTTTTCCCTGGCAATCAGCACGTTCGACATGGTAATGCCACAGCCAATACGCGGTACAGGTGTTCCCGTACTCCACGTAGTGTTATTGTGATTGAAGAGCCATTTTCTGACCGTTTCCTCTTCCATCCTCAGCAGATCCGAAGCGGAAAGGCCAGACGACACGACCACCGGAAGCTGCTTTTCGGGCATACCTGATAATTGGATTTTGACAACAAAATCCGACAACAACGTGTAGAATATAGAAAATAGCGTGTACAGTAGAAAGCGATGGCGAGTAAATGATAACAAAATATCGTATTTAAACAGCGAATTCGTGATAAGTTGATCAGTGATATCCGAGTAGAATCAACTTAGAACGACAATGTGCGAAAAACATGGTGTTTATCGGCGGTACCTGGACAACTGCCGGCGCGTATATCACCTTGACAACAGCTATGGCAAAATACGCATCTATCTCTTGTTACATCTTTTTCAAACTCCTTGGTTTTTAAATCATGAACAATTAAAATTTTTTACGAAAAATATATGCCCTATCGTTTACCTCGACTGTAAAAAAAAAAAAAAATGAAATGCAATACACCGCTTGCGCCTATAACTTTTACGGCACTGGGTTTAGCGTTTATATTATGGAAAACATTATACTTATATAATACCATCTAAAAGCGCTTACCAAAGAATCGAGCAAAAATAAAATCACAGTTATTCAAGTGTCAGGGTCCTAGAGTTCATTTTTAAGGGGGTTGGGAGTGAATATTGCCGACTTCCAAGGATGAATCTGCCGTCTGTGTAATTATCAATTACACATTCCTATAGTAATAATAATTGATTATATCTATCTTAAATGGTATATATGTATATATATATAATATAATCTACATAAGGTAAACTTTTTGCTGTTGCCTATCAGTGTGAAAAAGGTTGTAGTACAAAAAATACAATAGCCAGTAACGATAATTGTGAATCTTTTAAACATACATGAACATTATACATTTATTAAATGTAAGTATGAAATTAGCCGATTAAAGTCAAATAATAATAATGAAAAGTCAAACTTTACTCGCGGGGTGTACGATAGGCTTGTTCGATACGTTTGTCCAACATCTACTACTAGAACATTGTGGGAATAATTGTGTTTCTGTATTGTTTAACATTCGTGTGTACACAGTGAAGGTTGTGGATAAAGTGTTGTTGTGGGTGTTGCATCCGATTGGTCGACAATCTTACGCCTCTCCCTGGGCGACGGTCCCGCCTCATCCCTGCAGGGACCACCGGCGTTTCGCCAACGACTCTCAGCCAGCGCAGGCTGTACGCAAACGCAACCGCAGAAGGACGTCTGTTTTGGCTTGTCGTTTCACTCAGCAACCCGCCAGTGTACTTATTAACACTTCTTAAAACGACAGTATCAACTGTCGTCTGCCGAGGGTGAAATCTCAATAATAATATATATTAGGTATAACGTTGTGGTAGTAGTTTTTTTTGACAATAATTCGGGTCGACCGGTTTCGGTGCAATTATGATCAATAGCCCGTGCGAACAACAGGTGGACGAACCGTTAGACCATTCAAAAGAATTAGTCCTGTCCTCGTCCGTAGTAAGTACAATAATATTATAGTATTCTCGTCGTTTATAGTTTAACACAGCCGTAGAGTAATCCATTTAATCTGTATACGTATGGATTCCATAGAGTAGATGTGTCCTACCTAATGAAAGGGAACAAATTGAACGATTGAAATAGTACTCGGTCTGTTGTGAGCGCATCGCTTCTAAAAAAAAGATAATAATAATATTTTTTGGCGAAGGACGTTTTTTAATACCTACTGTATTGCCCGCGAGTTTTGCTCAGGTTTCAATTAGAAAGTATTGTACTTTAAACTACACATGCACTTTTTCGGCATAGTAGAACATTTTAAACGGTAAAACATTATTACCTTTTTATTTACACTCCCAAGGTCCATTTGTTCATCAATAGCCACTAAAGTGCAGCATTTTGGGCCTAGGAGAAAACACAGAGCCTATTAATAAACAATAGCAGTTCGGCTAATAGGTATACCTCGACTAATGAAAAAAAAAAAGTATTTTTTATAAATAAACCCTATATTATGAAGTGTTTTTGAATTAATAAATATTAAATTTAATAAAAATCTAATTAAAAATAGTTACAATTGTAAACTAGTAGATATTTTCAATAGTTTATATTGGTAAACATGATGTGCCTTCAAATGGACCGGACAATACCTAACTACAAAAATATAACATGACTATATTATTATTATTTACTTATTACATCGTCTCATGTTTCTACCCCTTTTACAGCTCATTTATAATTAGTATGACTATTTTTTTCGAAATTAATAACTTAACCGAAGCAGAAAAGAATAGATAAAAAATTGTACTTTTACATAAAATGTAACACCAATTTTCGTTTCAGTGAGATATTTATAGGATTTAATCTCATAGTGCATGTTTATAGATGTTCTGTTAAAATCATTTAAAGTGATTTTATTCATAATATTTTTCATGTTACAAATCAAATAATAGTTTATTATGGTTATCAGCAATATGTTGTATTTGATGTGTAAAATTGGTAACAATCAACAATACAAAAATTTGCTATTATTTACAGTCTAATAACGAAACATTTTTCATTGGTAAAATATGAAAACACAATAATGTGTAATAATCCTCTGAAATGTATATATTTTTTTTAATAGCGAGAACAGGCTGTTGTTTTAGATTAATATATTTTTAATCGACTGAAATGAGGTGTAATTTTCCGGTCTAAAACTGGTCTCGTACCAATACATAGTCATTATACCTAGATTTTATAAGTAAAAACAAAAACACCTGAAACGATTTAGATCAAAAAAAATTGTATACTTCACCACAGTCTGCGCCGGAAATGTCGTAAGTTCGGTGGAAATGAAGTTTCTCCTTACGGTCTCCCGTCGCTTATGTACAGAGCCGTTATTATTATTATTATTATTAATCACTTGCCGGGTTAAGCCCATTGGAAAAAGCAATGACTTTTCGACAAACCGAATTAGAAGCCGGAACAATATTTCGTGTTGGAAACCGAAGAAACTGCACTATATTAAACTGCACTGAACCCTCACCCTTGCCACAGCCGTCGCCGTTAATGCATTTTGCCACGGCGGTTTTCCCGTTTGAATTCATTTCCGGACGACCGTGTTTCCGCGGTTTGCTGCGACTATCAATATAGTCACACTGGAAAACCCAACACCTGAAGTCTGAAAACTTTGAAAAAATTCCTCTTAGAAATTTTGAGATGTACATTTTTTGTTTGTTTTGTCCCAAAAACGGTTCCCATTTGCACGTTCACCTAATGCGCGACCAGTAACAAATTGTCTAGGCTTTTACTAAAGGTAATCAAAAAAGTTTCCCTTCTCCCATAGTGTACTTAAAGAGTAGCTTCTGCCGTCTGATGTGTATAATATATATATCAATATTTCATTGCAGTTCAACAACCGGAATTCGTCGTACGCCGGACCCTTAGAGAACGGTATCGAAATCCACAAGCGAACAGCAGGAGCGTTCGACGTCCCACAGCAAACGGGTAAAGTCCTATGCGCACTTGACTAATATGAAAAAAATATAATTTTGTTTTTTTATAATTTGTGCACGCAGACAATGTGTACTTGCATTTGTCGAGCAAACCTATTAGCCAAAAGTTGGAAAACTGGAATCAAGACGGTAAGTAGTACCGTCAATCTTCATTTTCCATGCGAATAAAAGTTTTAATTGTAAACAAATTCGTTAATAACCAGAGTTGGACACTATTTGAATAATTTATTTATTTTTATAATGTTAGTATACACATTATGGTCCAAAAAGTCTATCTAGTTAGTATATGTTATGTTATGTTTGTCGTAAATTAATTGTTTTTATCATCTCAACGGTGTTAATATTTGTACGTATTCGATTTGAAAAGGGAAAAAGTATATTTTTTTGTGAAATTAATCTGGCAAAGATGTCTAAATAAAACATAGAACTTACAAAGTTACTTTGACCAAGGAACGCCGACGAAGATGTGAAGGACTACCTTTAAAGAGAAACGTAGTTACCCAACACAGTGTAGAGTGTTTTTTTAGCGGGGGGTAAATCGTTTAAAATTGTTTTTTACTATTAGTATTATTATTATTTTTATACTTTGATTTTTCGATTACACAAAATGACTTTGAACGCGAATCACTTTACAAACGTGACACATGACATGATCAGTAAGTAATTGAAGTACACTTTGAAGAACCTGTGCAATAATCTATATGGAATTAAAAACTGAAACGAGGCATATTTCCATTTCTGAGGCATCTTATTTTAATATCGGCATAGACTATTAGCATATATCAACGTCTTGTTGACATTTTCTCTGCTTTGCACGATGCCTTTGATTTTTTTCTACGTTAACTAAAAATATATTATATTTCAAATCGTTCCCAAAGAGTCATGTAGACTTACAAGATTCCCATATTATTGTTTTTGTAGAATATGTCTCCTGCACATTTTTAATAAAAACATTTTTTTTAAGAACATTAAACATCAATACAAAAACATTTCAAAGTAGCACCACAAAAAAACACATTGTAAAATTAATATCTTCTTCAACACACATCTTGTTAGAACGAAAAAAAAAACAAATATCATAGTCAAATAATAATTATTGTAGTTGCATTTTTACAAACACAAAGAAATTTTCGCCAAAATATATATTGAAGAAAACCCGTATATACCTATATAATTAAAAAATAGTCTTATTTAATTAAAAAAATGTAATAGCTATTGTACATTATTATATTTTTTTTACTGAAAACTTAGGCTTTTCTATTTGAGGGGAAAACAAATTTTATTTAGTTGAAAAAAATCTCATAATATTATGTTATACTATTTAAATTGATATTTCGGATAAAGCTACTTTTGAACCACATAGTTTGAGACCTTTATACAGTTTATTTAAAAATCTGCCTAAACGTGGAGATCATAGTAGTCAAATTTTAATAAATCTTTCTAAATATATAGTATTAAAATATTTTATTATATATATGACTTAAAACATTCGAAAGTATAATATAATATATTATTAACGCCTAAAGTACACATGTTGTATATGGGCGAATATAATCGTATGATAAAAGGATGAATGACAGAATGAATGTCTTTAATGGGCTATAATGATATGTGGACACGGTTAAAAATAAAGGGTGTAGATCCCCAAGTCCTTTCTATAGCAAAACTCAAACAAATCGGAATGCAACACCCTCAGAAAAACGGCCAGACGAATTTATTGTTCAGAAAACTGGATGCAGCTGTTACGTGGGGAAAAATACATTCTCTACAATTGTGTTTCTAAAATACATTTGATACTTGTTTTAAGTGATCACGTGAAGTCACTTGACTAAATGAGTTTATATTAAACATAGTTATTTAAAATACACGTTTTAATTATTTTATGGTTGCACAAACCAATGATGAGCTGTTATACAAAATTTGGAAAATTCAAAATCAAATAAAATATTATTTGAAATAAAAATATAGTTAATATTTTATTTTAACAAAACAAAAAATCATTCGATAAATTATTTCAAACAACAACAATCGACTGATATTTTTATTCGAATAAAAATGGTGTCCAAAAATATTATTTGAGGTTTATTCCAATAAACGTGGTTAGTGGTTAGTCTGTTAGTGGTTAGTTAAATAGTCTATTATTTTTTAATCTAATAAAAATTATTGAAATATTATTTTATTTAAATATGTATTGTATAAAAATGTCTAATACTCTGGTTACAAAAGTATAACATGACTATCCCTAATTATTTTACTTTTTTTTACATTACTAAATATGTGCGTTATTTACATTTTGCTTAGACCGCACTGTGTACCAGCAAAATCCCACGAAACCAGAAATAAGATCACCGGATTGCTGTGGTAGATCTAGTAGATACTTTACGGATCACTATTACCCACATTCTCCAACTAACTTCAGGTAAAAAACATAACTTAAAAAATAAAATGTCGAGAGTCCAGTCTAAACCTTGTTTTTGACATATTCAAGGCATTTGCTCTATTGATCAGTTGAAAACTAAATAGCTTTACGAAAGCATACATTACTACTAATTCACAACGGGGTCGGTTTTCTCAAGTTTCAATTTAAATATGTTACACAACATTATAATATTATTGCCATCACGCAATACGTGTGCTAATACACAAGTCACCGGAGAATCGGGATTACGTTTTCCTTTCGATTTTATTTACTTTTACACTCTTTTTTTTTTTTTAAGTCTATTGTAAAGCGTGGCCCCTCGTAAACAAATCATTGTAACTTTTAGATAACCACGGTGCTTTGTGTATTCGAGTATAATATAATGCGCTGTGTACACATCATTTGAAATAATTAAACCCGCAAACAGGGCATGCCCCCGCCATACGTTTCAATTTTTAATATAAAGGGTTAAACGGTATCTCGTCAGTAATAATAAGCTACTTGGACCCTTGCGCCGTTCAATTATTAACCTGATAATTATTTACAGGCCTCCCGTTTGTTGGCTTTTCAAAAGATTATTTAAAACCCGCTGCCCGCCGCGACCCTTCTCGTCCACCGCCGTTTACGCGGTGTAATCCTCTCGGCAGTCTCGCTCCCTTTCTGTTTTCATAAGTCATTATATTATAACAACGATCGTCTTACGACAGGTCACCCGGCAACACTGTGTAATACATTAATTTCAATTTTTTCTTAGAAGTATAACCACAAGAAACCTGTACTACGATTACTACGACCCGATGACTTACAAAAAAGATGCCGAATCCAAGTACTATGGCGACGCCAACGGAAACGCCACTAGGTACACGGGCCAAGGTAAGCGCTAGCTGTTTTACCAAAGTATTTAATACACTCTTGTTTTTGCTTAAGAATTGAGATTTTCTATTTCCAATTATAATTGCCCCTCCCAAACATTTGACCGTCTCAATAATGCCCACCAGGAAATTATGCTAAACAGGCTCACAAAAAAAAAAAAAAATAAAATAAAATACAATGAACTTGTAATGAACCTTAAATATCCAAAAAAAAAATACAAACTTAATAAAGTCAACAATATTAACATATTCGCGGTCTTTTTTGGGATTTATAATAGTAGTTCACAGATATTATATTATTATAATTTATTATATGATAAACTAGATTGCTAATTAGTGATAAGAATTGAAGTCAGCCATTTTTGTGGGATTATGTGTGTTATCTTTGCCCTGGCGTTATCACGAACCACCGCGGATTTATATATATATATATGGTTATTTACAGGTACAGATATAAAATATATACATATGTATCGACGGCTTATAATTGTTATGTGATAAGGTCCTAGTTGCAACAAAGATGGCGGAAAGTGTCAACTTCAATTTTCTCTATTGGGGCGACATGTACAGTTAGCAATCTAGTTTATTATAATATAATATTATCTGTGTAGTACTTAGTCGAATAATTCCTAACTTTGTTGTCTCGCCAGAAAACAATAATAGTTACTGTGCTCCACAGACATGTCCACAGAAATCAAAAGGATTCTATTTCTTATCGGTATGCCAATACACAGTGTACCCAACCTAGTTTTTTTATTTTCGGGACCCGGCCTAAACATTAATAATTGTACATTGATTTTGCGGGAAATTATTTATGATATTCATTTTTTTAATATTAATTATTCGGCGGGGGCGATGCGAAAATAATAATACAATATATTATTTTGCGCGTACGGTTTGACTGATAAAAAATTCTAGTCACGGCCACCGCGGCAGCCCTTCATCGATACACGCTGGCGTTATTATAACAATGAGGAAAATCTAAAAAAACTAATTGAATATAAATATAAGATGTGCCCGACGGCGGTTACATTGTGTGTGTTATCAGATGTAAATCCAGGCCAGGCGACAAAAGTAAAATAAAAACACATTCGAGACACGTACACCGGTACTGATTTGCCACCAATATTCAACGAAAACAAGAGGTTCAATTTTCACCTATAATCATTATATTTCCTCCTTGGCCCGGAAGCAAAAAAAAAAAAAAAATAATAACACCAGCGCTGAGGATTTTTTTTTTTTGCATTATATTATACTATGTGTACTATATTATAAACCTGGACGACGATATAGCGCCGACTATTGATTAGTTAGTACACCATGATAATAATATGAGAAACCGAAAAATAAACACATAGCCCGAATGGTGATGGTTGGGTTAGCCAACCTATACTCGCGGGGAATTAAGTTTAATAGTAATTACAAGAGCCGGCCGTAATAATAATACCTTAACTATTGGACAGATATTATTATTATTATTATATTGACTTAGTGCCGCATGTAAGCCTCGTGTGTCCGACAACAAAATACTTACAGTTATTACTCAGCCAATGAAATGAGTTTCACATTTCTTCGACGGGCTGTTCTCCGCCTCTTGTCAGCAAGTCGTCGTCGTTTGGTAAATATTGGACAAAGGCGACGTTGAGAATCTAAACAATTATCGATAAAACAGTAATATCGTTTTGTAACAGCCAAGTATAATATAATATATTAGCCGGTTTGATTTACAAAAATTACTAACATTGTCTTTTATCGTTAAAGTATAGATAGTTTAACGCTTGAGACTTTAAAAAAATTCCTCAGGCTAAATTTAAACTAAAAATTAATATTTTACAAATTAAATCCACCCATTAAATGGTAATAAATTAGGCAAAATGATTAAGTTTTCGTTAAAAAATAAAAGTTCCTAGAAAAATAGCTTTTTGTATCTCCTGAAAAAAACCAAAATTTGAAATCGGGCCCTTGTTCTAATAAGCGTCTCAATTGAATACACCATATACTCTAAACATTAAACATCATGATATATTTTTAAAATAAGTATCGATACAGCAATTGGGTGTTCCAAAGTATTTCAATGTGATGTATGATGTTTTCATTAGACATTAATTGAGTAATAAATCGAGCCTTAGGTACTTCTTATTAGACCAGCTGTATTTCAAGTCAGTCCTTTTTATGTGATATTATAAAATAATGTTTGATCAACAAGAGCCAAATTGATAAACGGATGAAAAATTAATTTCCAACACAATCTTCCTAGACCAAAGCTAAACTACATTGGATTTAGACCGTTAGATGTAACGTCAAGGGATGTAAAGCGATCGCGCCACCTCCCCTTAAACTATTAATATTATTTATATTACATATTTCCCCCCCCCCCTGAGTTAAGGTGGTTCAGAGACGCTCTTGTGTAAAATGTCGGAAGTGCTTGAGCATATTTTTTAAGTTTTATCATCATGGATGATTGGATTAGATAGAATCTGAAGCCCATACATGTTGTTATACCGTGGGGGAGGCTCAACATCCTCGTTTCCTATCACTTACAAGTGCCCTCCTAGTCTTATACACACAGGCGTGTATTAATTTCCTTCTTGAATCATAATATTATAACGTCTCCAATGTTCGTCATCGACACGGGTCGTTGGTTAACCAAATAGATAGTGCGAGGCGGTCACGGATGTCGTGTGCTGTGAGTGTATTATGATATATTATATCAAGTGGCTAATTTAATATATTATATTATTATCGAGCTGCCGGCCGGCCATTGAACACCACAGTGTAGAGTGTCGTTAACGCCGTGTCAAAACGGTAGTCCGTGTCTAATGGGATTTTTGAAAAATCAAAATATACTCTGCTAAGTCGATATGAACGCGAAACATAAACACAGGCATTTGAGCATGCGGTTTGCCGACCTCGACTAATCGTCGCCCTTTGTCGCTCCGGCCACCCTTTATTATATTGCCACCCCTTATCAGTATCAGTATTATTATTTACAACGGTATTGCGATAATGACTGCCTTGTTGACGATACATGAATTATTATTATCACGGGCTCTATTCGTTAAGGGGCCATTATTGTCGGCTGATTTTTTTTTTTTTTGCGTTCAGTCTTTTCTGCTGAAACGTTTGGCTTTTGAATAATGTAACGGACACGGGTTTTTTTTTCGGGAATCGACGAGGGGGAAACGGGAACCGTGCACGGCTATTCCCGAGGGCATCGCAAGAGGAGAGAGGGTGTGAGAAGGAAGAGGGACAAAACGGCAAATCCCACTGCTTTCGCTAATAGCTCTTTAAGTAACACTATCTGTAATGCGCGTTTCCAAGACGTGGACAGCACAAATCGGCACACGAGTTTATACTGTTAAGCTAATTACACTATAGGAGGCGAAAGGGACGTTTTAAATTGTGCTATCTATACTCAACACAAACCGAACAGTGGAAAAGGGCCAAGTTAGCCTATCAAAGTATAGTGACATCTACATTGTGGCCAAGTCTGTTATTTCTTTAGTTCATATTATACTCACTTCACGCCTATACTTTCACGAGCAACACTGCTCTTTCATTTGTATTCCTTAGCGCTTAATACCGTATAAAAATAATAAACTCTGGAGAGAAAAATGTGAATTTCGACCCTTGTCTACATTATGTATAGCGTGTATACTTTTACATAGGACCGTGCGACGTACGGTGTAAATGATTATAAATTATACAAGAGACGAGAAAATTAAAGTAAGAGATTTTTGTAATAATTAGAAAAAAACACCGTCTACATTGATCACAATACCATCATCATCATCGCATGGTAATAATATAATAATATCATAACGATTATAATTAAGAACCGGCGTTTGTGTGTATAAAAACGGCGTGCACGAGCGGGTACGTAGATTTGAAAATTAATTTTGCAACAAAAAAAAAAACAAAGGGTCGTCGGCCTTGTACGGTTGGCGTGTGTACGAAAAAGTAAGTATAAATAATTAAAAAAATAAAAACTCGAGTTAACGGAAGGAGTTTGCCCAAAATACCTAATAATAATAATATATAAATTAATTGACGGAATATGATTTTTTTAAATAATAATTATCATTATTATTATACTATAAAACAGTCGACGACGGCTCGCTCGTTAGACGTTCAGGAGGCGGTTAGACAATAATTAACTACAATTTGTTGTTATTGTTATTATTAACTTGTATAAGACGAGCACGTGCACATGTCGCGCGCGCATTGGAAGACGTTTAGAGCGTTTAAGATTAATCGCCTTTTTTGATAATTAACCGAAAAATGATGTTCGTCCGGAGGTGTTTGGTAAAAGAATAAACGGCCGGCTCGTTAATATTAATTAACGCTACGGATCGTGTTATATTTTAAGAAAGGCCCAGCAAGCGTACGGCGTTTTTGATAATCCGCGGATTACAAGCGAGTTTTAAAAACATTTTTTTTAGAAAGAAACAATCCTTGTTTGCAGGTTCGCCGTTGTTTTTTAGCAAGTCCGACGTTTTTAACTACCACACGACGCATATGCGCATCCAACAGTCGCCTCAGCCGCCGCCGCCGCCGCCGCCGCCTCCGGCCAAAGACATCAACGAAGGCACGTGCGCCTTATATTGTGTTAACGTCGTATACAGGGTGTATCAAAAAGAATGGTGGGATTTCAAACGGCCGTAGGTTGTGAAGTATCGGACCTACGGCGCTCTGGTAGGACTTAAACGAAAGAGGGAGTTGTCGAGTTTCGGACGACTGCCACTAGATGTTCCATAGTCCTACAAGCCCTACCAGAGCGCCGTAGGTCCAATACTTCACAACCTACAGCCGTTTGAAACCCCGTCATTCTTTTTGATACACCCTGTATTTCGCGCAATATAACCGTGTACCTTGTGTGTGTGTTTGTACAGGAGGAGTCCAGGCGGACCACACGGACCCGCCCGTCGGAGGATACGCCGGCGGTTCGTCGACGCAGCAGCCTCAACGTCGGGGCGCGCTACAGCTCTGGCAGTTTCTGGTCACGCTGTTGGACGACCCCAACAACTCGTCTTGCATAGTGTGGACCGGCCGGGGCATGGAGTTCAAGCTGGTCGAACCGGAAGAGGTATGGATATCCTAGGAAGTTACAACAGTTAAACAATTTTAGCCCCATGTGGAAGTTAAAAAAAAATTCTGTATATGTCTAAAAAGCCCTATAAGTGAGTTACAAACTTGGCCAGAGGGGAGAGGCTAACTACACTTTTATTTAATTTAAAAAAAATAATACCAGTTTGTGCAATAATGTTAATAACATTTCTGTGTCATATTTCACGTCTCAACCTAATCTTGTAAAAATTATTTCTATTACCGCAAAAACAACGCAAGTCAAATAATGTGTTACTTATATCAATTTAGTGAATATGGTCAAGTTAGAATATTTAAACGGATCATCAATATTGGAAATCAAGTGTATAAGTGCAAATAGAATTGAATTTCTGGAGTAATGAAGATTTTTGTGGTTAGTGTAAAATTTCAATATTGATTATGACTTGTGTCGTTTTTGAAATAACCCATTCAATTATCATTTACAATATTGAAGCTATGCAAATGTGCGAGTAAAACATATTATGCTTGCTTTATTGTAAAAACAACCTAGCTGATATCAAAGTTGGTATTTGCTCTGAAATAGTATTGTAATTTCTATATTTTAAACCAACATAATACTATGTTTTGTATACAAAAATTCTATGTGAATAATTACACTCTTCTATTCTAATGGCATTTTAAAAATGTAAAAAAAATTGTTATCAATCGTTTGCTGCGTAGGTGGCTAGGAGATGGGGACTACAAAAGAACAGACCGGCCATGAACTACGACAAGCTGAGCAGGTCGCTCCGGTACTACTACGAGAAAGGCATCATGCAAAAAGTCGCCGGTGAGTAAAGTGCAACGTTTTTAGAATGCAAATACTTTATGTTTCAATATTCAAGCTGCCCTGTATTTAGGGGCCGTTACAGCTGCACCGTGTACTTAAAAATTCGGTCGACATTTTACGTTTGAGATTTGGCCATTGCAATTATTTATTACTTGTAGATTATTTAATAATAATATAATATTATACTTCATAATAACTATCAACTCTAATCTGCATGACAATAGTAATTTTCGCGGATTACAAATCCAAGACACGATAATAAAAACGAGGAAGACTTTTTCAATAATAATAATAACAACAACAACAAAAACAATAACAATAAAGCTCGAGGCGATGTGCATGCGCACCATTTGTTTAGGATTCGTGTTATAAGTTTATTATGTGTTTCGGGCAAACACAGTAAGTTAGTATAAATGCCGGCCTTGCGCTACATATTATACTTGTGTGCAGTGTGTGTGTGAGAAAGACGACGGGTAGAGAGAAATAGTTAATCAAGTGTTTATAGTGCGTACAATATGTGTACATACCCCCACTCGATATTTGTTGTTTGCGTACGTATCAACATAACGCAGTGTGTTGAATTATTGTTTGCCAGGCGAGCGGTACGTTTACAAATTTGTTTGCGACCCCGAGGCGCTGTTCAACATGGCGGCCACGTACGATTACGCCGTCTCCGGTACGTCCGGCCCCTCGGCCGCCGCCGCCGGTACAACTGCCGCGCCGCCGATGGCGCATCACCAACATCACCATCAACACCAACTGGCCACCAGGTACGCGGCGGCCGCGGCCGCTGCTGCTGCGGCCGCCGCCGCGGCCAACATGCACCATCATCATCATCATCACCACCACCAGGCGGCCGCGGCCGCCGGTCCCGCGTACGACTGCGTCGACGACGGCGGCTACTACAACGGTGGCACTTGCAAAACGACTGCGTTACACGCAGTTGCGTAAACATTGTTTTGAGTTAACCAAATTTGACCTTTTTTTCAAATCAAGAACAAATATTTTATTTTTTTTGTTAAGTATGAAGGCGATTTAATGATAATTTGGGCCATTTAAAATGTTATAATTAGGTAAATAAAAAAAAACTCATTAAATTCACATTTGAAAATAATTTGTCAGGTCTGAAGTAACTTTTAAAAATATTCAGCAAATTGTTTTGTGCAGAATAAAAAAAAAAAATACTTTTTATTAGGTATGCGTTAGTTAAACTGTTATCTAAATCCACAATAGTGTTCCAAATTACCGCCACTCTTATTCAGTTCTAAACCAACTTATAAACTTAAAGTTTTATTAGCAGAAAATGTAAATAAAAAAAATAAAAAAAATTGTATATTGTCTATTTTCAGTCAGAAATGTTTGCAGTACAATTTTTGTGGATAAATAAACTTTTAAATAAAACTTTCAACAATTTCAATCTATTTTGAATTATTGTAATATATTCTTATAAAGTAGACATTTGTTTTTAAACTATTAGCGCCATTTGTAAAAATCAAAAACGATAACTTGTATATATAACTCTGATGACTTTCTTGGGATTGCATACAACCCTTCCAAATTTTTATTTTTTTTGTAACCTAATTCATTACAATAATTATTGTTACTGTTAGTTTTTGTAAACGTCGAGTACCTGTTTTAATTAATTACTATTAGGTTAGGTTAGGTTGTTCTTCTTTATTTTAATAATACACTATTTTCTGGTTGTCGATAAATAATTTCCTCTTTTCACTTTTATTGTTCATAATAATAATATTGTCTGTTGTTTTGAAACTCTTAATTTTTTATTTTTAACATTAAACGTGTATAAATACTTGTCGTAAACCGATACGACAGTTTTTTAAAATTATTTTATAATATATTTAATTATATTTCTATCTACCAAACCGAGTCATATTCTTAGCATAATTATTTGTTGATCGTTTGTAGGCAATTAAAATCACTATTTGTTGTTTTGTTTTTGTATACATTTTTTTTTTTATCCGACAACTATTTTATCGGCAAAATAATTACAAGTAAATTATAATTTAATATCGTTACAACGTACTATTATTATTATATCTAGTCATTTTATTTGTTTACGGTTTGTACTAATCACTATGGTAGTCGATAGTACGTTTAGCCGAGTTACGAGAACATATTTCGTAGTCGGCGTACTGAATAGATAATATTATATTATTATAGTCTCATCGTGCCAATAAATAATTTATATTGTTAAAAATACCTATAAGACTTGTATGTACACATTTTTTGTTTTGTACATGTGCAATAAATATAACTATTAAATTTTAATCGACGGATAATTTTGGTCCGCTCATAAGACGATTATTTCAAAACGGTATTTACAACAATCAAATGTTCTAATAACATAAGTAGTTATATATATATATATATATTTGTGAAAGTATACAATCATATTTTAACATCTCTTAAAATAATTTATATATGTAAAAAAAAACTTAATTTAAAATAGAAGCTATTAAGTATTCATTTTTTTTTTCATAGATAAAATAATAATAATATAATATATATATATATATATTATTATAACATTAAAAAAAAAAAAAACGTTAAAATTTATAACTTAAAATAATAATAATAATAATACATTTTAAAAACGACAGATTAAAATCATCACAAAATATAATAATTATATTTTTTTAATTAAATAACGTCCGTTTCTCAGGAATAAGTAAAAAATTAAAAAAACAACTTTTATCTTCGATGGGCAAGACGTTCAAAAAAAAAAAAAAAAATAAGGCACAATATTTTGTCGTACGTATTCAACAAAGAATAATAATAAAAAAAAAAAAATGTATAGTTTGATCTTCTTAATATATACTAATAAGTAATAACAGTTGATCACTTCATTTCCACACTCGGACGTCGTAACAACGACATCGATGAAGCGTCTCATATTTAAAAATTCAGACTTGCGTTGCTCGTTAAATTCACATTAATTACAAACATTGTTTTCTATTCTAAATATTGATCGATCGCACCAAACACATTTTTTGTCCATGAACATATTATTATATGTAAAACACAATTATAAAATTGTTAGACACCCAACAATTAATAAAACAAATAATAATAAACAAATAACCGTCAATCAGTCCGTCGAATACAAAAACAAATTTATGAACATGATTATAAATATTAATAATAATTATTTATAAATACTATAATTTACGGATTTGTGTACAAATTTACGGAGAGAAAGAGGACACCCCGTCGAGCCGGATCGGGTTCTTCCAAAAACTAGAACCTGACCGGATACTGTCGTTGTCACCGCAGAGCGTCGACGTTGTAATGGCCGTTGCCGTTGGTCATGCGGTGGTCGCCCGACGCCGGCTTTTTGTACAGTTCGAACGCGCTGCCGCGCTGATCCCTGTGCTGGGTCAGGTCCAACGCGTTGGGATCCCTGTGGTGTTGTTTGTAGTACATCGAGTGATTGCGTTCCATTTGCTGCGACGAATGTTGGCCGCTGCCGCCGCGGCGCTCGTAACCTCTGTCCAAGCTGCTGCCGTGACCGGAATCGGCTGTGTTTACGTCCGTCGATTCTGACGAATACTTGCTCGGCGACGACGGCATCTGAAAGCGATTTTACACGTTAAAACGTTGCGGGTTAATAATTTTTTTTCCTCTCAATAATAACGCCTCGACGACTCACCCCGTTGGACATGTGCGACGAATATGTACTGTCGGCTATGCTGAAGGACTTTGAGTGTTGGAAATTGTTCGCCGGCGGCGCCGGTTGGTAGTACTGTTGTTGTTGTTGCTGTTGCACGGGCGGTCGGTAGTTTTTAGGTTTTGGAGGCGGTACGGGTTTGTACGATTGTTGAGGTGGTGATTTTGGAAGAGGAAGAGGTTTACTAGTGGCGTACTCAACGATACCTCCGTTTGTACCGCCAGGAGGTCTACAAAAAAAAAAAAAAAAAAATCGGTACTATTAATTACAAGGCTAACACAACGGTCAGACGACTAGTTGCACTAGGCTACAACAACAATATCGTCATACTATCTACGGGTAAGTACGGTGTTTAAACTATAAATCTTTCGGACAAATAAAAAAGATCATTTAACGGATCTATGACATTTAAAGTCCTATAAAACTGCGGTACGTTCATTTGTGTCGTAACCCTATAAAACGTCCAACGTGAATATATAGGCAATTATTGATGAGAAAAAAAAAAACATAATTACCTGTACTTAGGGTAGTCGGACATTTTGGTGTCGACGGGTTGTTGCGTGGATCTTGTGAATCTATACGGATCGTGATGACCTCTGCCCAACGTGTTGTTGCTGCCCGTTTTCAGGTCGTCCTGAGAGTTTGAAACTAAATTCGAAGTCAAATTACCGCTACCGTTGTTGCCACCACCGTTCATGCGGACACCGTAACTGTCATACGACGAGACGCTATCGTAACTGTTGTGCATGTCGTACAACTGTAAAATAAAATAAACTGTTAAAAAAGAACAACAATTATTAGTAATACAATATCGTACTTGTTTGCTAGTGCTGGTGTGGGTACGCTGATGGTGAGGAGTGGCGTTAATGTAATTAGGATTATCGTCGACGCCGTTCGGACTGAAAAGCCTGTCGGTGGCCGATCTCTGACCGTTGACGCGATTCACGCCCATCGGCTTTGTGTTCCTGTCCACCCGCGGCGGTAGATCCGGCGCCCCGTTGCCGTTTACCATCAACGTCGTATGGGTCGGCGGCCCGGCCATGCGCAACGGTTGTGGCGGCTCGTAACTCGCCTGTAAATTTTATATTTCAATTTTAACAATGTAAACATACAGTAGAAATATATATATATATATTGTAATATTATTGTGTACACGCACAAATGTATCGTTAACAAATAATAATTATTGAGAATTTGGACCTGTTTAAATACCGATGGCGTGTACGGCGGCGGTGGATTGTAATTGGGTATGGCCGAATCGTCTTGCGTGGTGATGCTCGGATCGCTGGAACTCTTCACCAGCCTGGAGCCCACCGTCGTCGGACTGGTCGCCGAATTCGACGTGGGAGACGCCAAGGTGGTGTTGCTCGTCTCCATGTCGCTTTCAGGAGATGAAGCGTACGACAGGCGCAGGGAGGTCATCGGAAATAGCAAGTCATCGGACAGGTTTTCTTCGGGCTAAACACCACACGCGTAACGCATGCCACAAAACACACAAAAAAACAACAACATGTTAGAAACTCACAAAACACAACAACAAGCTTATTATATTATACTAAATGCTGCCACAATCAAATTGACGGTTATCGGATAAACATATAAATACATAAAAAATGTAATACAGATTAGCGATCATATACAAACTGAACAGAATAACGAGAAAAAAAAAATCATGCGATAAAGAAACAAAAACCTCAACACAAATGAAAAGAAATTAAACATAATATTATGTAGTTATTTACTGTTACAATTTTCAGGAAAAACTAATGTTATCATCATGCTTTTGTTTTAATTTGAATATATATATATATACATATAATTACAATAATAATTGTTAGTGAATTTTTAGATATAACCGAAAAAGTCGTTCGGTTTACCGTCAAAGTCGTCGACGTTGTTAGAGATAACATAAGGGTTACACAACGGATACGACATGGGAAGTAAATAAAGATCGGACAGGAAATCGACGGTCTGCAAAAACGATGGTAATTTATGCTTTTCATTATCGAAATCAAGTGGTTGTAAAATTTTACTACTAAAAATACCTTAGTCTCGCTGACCCAAGTCGGGGAGCTTTGGTGTTTGTCGATGAGCTCCCTGAGCTTACGATACCAAGCGTCGCCTCCGTTCAACGTCAGCGATGAAGTGAAAACGTGCGACCAGGCTTTCTCCAATTTCTGACACTGTTCCAACAACTTTTTACTGCTCTTGTGAGCGGTTCTAAACGAGAAAAAAAAAAACCAATTACAAAAATACACAACACTGTGAAATGTATAAAAACGGATATATATATATATATACTTTGGTAGACCGGCACGGAGTTCTTTTACTATTTGCTTGTTGTCGGCGCGCAACATGATTACAATCGGATAAAACTGAGCGTAGTTCAAACGGTCCACTGCGTTGGGAGTGACGTCCAACAATGCGTGTTTGCCCCGATCCATGATATCGCGTATGGCGCTCAGTCGAATTATGCCGCTGATTTTCTTGGCGCCGTCCGTAGTGTTATTTTCAAGTTCTATAAAATTAAAAAAAAACAATACATTTATTGTGTTAAATCAAAACTTGAAAACCACCGTGTCTTCGGTCAGGAAATGTTGACGCCGATATCGTACAATATATATATATATATAAAAAAAAAAAACAATCGTGCTTACGAGGCGATAAGAATTTATCAGGAAAGTCCTTGGTAAGTTTTTCCCTCGCTATATCCGATATGGGTCCGAACAAAACCACCGGTCGTACGAATCCCGTATGGTTCAACGCCACTTTCTCGTAAGCCGGGAATTTGCTTATGCTATCGCCAAACACTACGTCGTCCCAATTTTCCTTGAAAAAAAAAAAAAATATGAAAATTAAAATTACAATAACACTTTTGATAACTTTTTTTTTTTTATATAATTTCTACTACCTTGCTCAGAGATTTCGATCTTCGATGGTTGTGTTTCCGGCGTCTGAAGAAACCGCCTTTGTTCTCGGAGGCGTTCATTTCTTTTTTCGTAGCGTTAAACTGAGCCGTAGCGAGTTCTTCGGCTCGGGCTTTGTTCGGAATTATTCCCTTTTGCACTTCTTGATTGTTTCTGCCGATACGGAACACTTGCCACGATCCGACCACGCCGTTGTGCAAAGTGTCCATCACGTGGAAAACGTCGCCCTTGCAAAAGCTCATTTCACCTTTATTGGGTTGTTCGTAGTCAAAGTGCGTTCTAAAAGCGAGAAACGCCACATTTATGTTGTAGAAAAACAGATTTTTGAAAAACAATAATTATAACAACAAGCAGCGGTTATTACTTGATGTGGAACGAATCGCCACGCTGATTGGTCATTATTTGTTCGTATTGGTCGCGACGGTGTTGTACGATTAAATGAATTTGATCCTGAAGACTCAACAAAAACAGAACGGCCTCTTCGCGAGTAACCCCTTTCATGTCCATATCGTTGACTTTGAGTATTTTATCGCCGGGCTGAAGGCCTTGGGTGAACGCAGGACTTCCCGGCTGTACCGCCGTCACGAATATACCGACTTCGTTGCCGCCGGTCAGTCGGATGCCGACCGATCCTTCTTTTTGGAACGTAATGAACCTGGGGTCGGGCCTGTAGTAGTAGCAAACCGATTATTTTTCTCTATTAATAATTATTGTGAAAAATAAATTTAAAAAAAAAACACCACTTTCTTACTTTAAATGTTTAGATCTTTGAGGTAACGTGTCTTCGTAAAATTGTCTAGTCGTACTGTAATAGTCTGTAAAAAACAATTTTGCAATGCAAATAACAATTAATAGTTGGGAAAATGTAAAAATATATTATTATCGTACCTTCGGGTCTTGGAGGTGGCGGCCGAGGAGGTTCAGAATGGTCTTCAGCACCACTCCTACTACGGCCATGGCTGTACGTAGGTCCCATATCGCCGTTGTGTAACGTATTGTTTACTATTGAAATAAATCAACATGTACATTTTGTTTTGACAAGCATTTCTAATAGCTAAAAAATTACTCGAAGCGTTGTTGTCCATAGCCGACGTTGGCCTGTCTAATTGGCTTAAGGAAACCGAATCCAACAGCGGATTACGAGATCTACCTCGAGGCGCCAAGTTGCTTTTGGCTTCTTCCAGCATCCCTCTGCTCGGCGGTTGCACGTACAGGTTTTGAGACGGATACGCCGATCCGTTGACTCCTTCCATGTAATTGTTGTTTTCTGCGAAACGTTCAAATGTGTGTAAAGCATGTTATCGGGTAAGCCGACAAGGCGGTTCCATTACCTTTGGTCTGTAAGGACGTTGGTTCAGACGAGCCGGAATAATGTAGACTGCCGTTGGCCGTACCCTCTCTGCGCACCGTCAAACTCAACTTGTCCTTGGCCGACTCGATCAATCTGCGGGCTTCTTTCAGCGTCATGCCGTCGGTCACCGAGTGATTGTTGATCTTCAACAGGACGTCACCTTCTTGCACACTGTTGTCGGTGCCTTTGGTGCCGTCTTTAATGTATATTCTACTGCCCAGCACTAGGCCAAAATCTACAAAGGACAGAACACAAATATTATTACTATCGATCGATACCGGTAATACGTTAGGGGTTGGGTTAGGTTAGGTTAGGTTAGGTTAGGGGTACGCCGCCACACGATAACCCCACTGACCGTCTTTTTTCCTCGTCTTGGTCAAGTGTACGCGCAACGTGTGCGGAGTGTTGGACGGTAACACCAGGCGACGTCTCAGCGACAGAGTAACGTTATCACCGCATTCTCTCAGTACGGCGACCGCAGTGCCGTATTCCACGTTGTCCAGCGACACTCCGTTTGCGGTCATTATCCTGTCGTTTACCCTGGATAAAAAAAAAAAAAAATGTGTTTTTTAATAATTTAATTCAACAGAGCTCTGCTGAAGAGTTTTTGAGAGAAAAAAAACAATGTACTCACATTAGCTTTCCTTCGGCTGGGCCGGATTTCAAAACGTCCGATACGGCTATCGATGGGTCACCGTTAGCGAAATGCGGATTGTCCCGGCCACCGCTGACAGCGATACCGAATCCATAGCCGGGAACGCGGTTCAGTGTCACTTGATGGAATTCCCACACTATGCGGTCGCCGTTCTGAAAAAAAAAAACCACATTAATCAGAGAAAATATGTTAATAGTTTTAATATTATATTATATTTTAATCTGTTATTATCTAGTTTACACGTTCGTTGTAGATAATACAGTGTAATTAAATCGGCTTGACCGTTGACACAGTTGGAAATTACACCAGGGGCAGGGGACGGGGAGGTTCGAGAGATTTTTACAATATTTTACACTTGTGGGTTCTCATTACTTCTCAATTCTCATTGTGCTGGTTTAACTCTTTAAATTTTCATGTTATATGTAAGCAGGCACGTTAGCTGTAAGTATAATGACGTGATTTCTAACATTAAATTAATAACGCCATTATAGCAATTTGTATACTTTGAAATTGGCGGTATGATCAGTGCCACACAAAGAGCACATATTTTTTGGCGGACTGTCATTTCAATACTATATAATATAGATTCAAGGATCTGCAAGTAATCCTTGAAAAATGTTCCTTGTTTTGTTTAATATGTTCTCGAAATTAAAAAAAAAATAAAAATTAAACCGTTATTGAAAATATTATTAATTAATTGCGCCATACTATGAGCACAATTAGTGTACCAATAAACTACATAGCTTTTGTCTTTGTAAAATAACAATAAAGAATTCCTTTTATACTACCTACATATTATTATTATTTGGAACATAGGAACACCCGAGTGAGACATACTACTCAGAAACCCATTAACCGGTTCTGGAGGGAAGTAAAAAAAAAAAAAACGGTAATAATTATTGTTATTAATTTTTATTTCCAACGTGGAAATGTGCATCATCATATAATATATAGAGCTTAGACGTGAAGGTATTGGGTTTTTTTTTTTGTATTATATATTTTTCTCAGATATTTACACAACAAAAAATATTGTGGTGTGCGTTTAGCAGCTGTTGGTCGATCTCATCCCCTCACATCTTTATACCAATTTGATGGGCTCAAACAAAATAATAACTCTGCCTACTCTCAACCATAAAAAAAAAACTTATCGGCCATATCTGTGTATTTTTGAAAAAAAAAATACAATACCTAACTAAAACGCGACACTGAAGAATGAGTTTGAACTGTTTCCAGTGGGATTTGTATGTAACCATATTATTATTGTGTACACATGAATGCCATTCGTTATTCGATAAAACATTACCCGTCGACTGTTGTTTTTTTTTTTTTTAATATATGTTGATTTCTCTAATCTGAACATCTTGTTAGAGTATGAAAAAAATGCAGTCTGGTTTCTGATGTGAAATCAGCGTGTGCGAGATGAAAACATTTTTTTCTTTCGAAAACCACTTATTCGTCGAATTAATAATAAAAAATACACATATATATATAAATACACGTATAGTTCCCAAGAATTATCACAATATTCTCAACCGGTACCGGATTCCACCGTCCGCCACAAAATGGCTTGTTCTGGCACACAGTTGTTGTTGTAAACAACAGGTGGCAGTTTTTAAGAAAAAAAAACAATTTTTAAGCATCCTATACACGGAGAGACAAAACCGTGCGGAGATTAACACAACGAAATGTGTTTTTTCACATTCAATTAAAAAAAAAAAACCCACAACATAATAATGATATACAATCGCCTGTGTCAATCATCGTCACCGGTCATCGAGAGACACACACACCAGAGCTGATGCTGCTGCTGTATTACATTATATTATCATTGTCACACACCTAACATAATAATATTTAATAAGAAGAAGACTTCCATACAACACACACACACACACACCGGTGTTGGTGCACCCCACGGTCATATAAGATCATGATATATTATATATATATATATATATATATTATTATTTTACAGTGTTCCGTCGTCGTTTTTCAGGGTTATCGACTCACTCGGCTCTTCTACTGTGTGTACACCTCCTCCTCACGATGAGTGTTTTAGACATGGACATAAATCACAGAGTATTTTTTTTTTTTCCACTGTAAAAGTATAAGATGATAATGCGGTACAACACGTTGTAACGTTTGTTTGTTTTCGTTCGACTGTATTTACCGGACAGATATTTTATAAAAAAAAAAAAAACAATTATGCGGTCGCTCCTCCTAGTGTGACTTCTGGAAAATTACCGTAAAACAAATGTCCTTCGTGTTATGATGTTCAATGGTTTTGACAGAGTCGTCTCGATAGACATTTCTAGTTATTAGTTACAATCCCAATCGCTTCGGTAATGTATATTAAATGTTAAAATAATCGAATGAATTTTGTCGGGAAAAGTATTTTTTAAAAAGAGTTATTATAACTATGTACATATACACTACTACTAAAATACAAGACAGTGTGTATGTGTTGGTTTCACCAAAAATTGAAAATCTGTAACTTCTTTATTATTTCCCTTGATCCTTGAACTTGTTGAAGATCAAGTTACAAAACTCGATCTTCAATAAACCGTGTGCCTTACACAGCCAGGTGAAGGGTTTAGTAGTTTTTAAATTATTATTTTAATTGTCAAATAATGATATTTTGGTCGGAGTTTCCACCAAGACATGTATGATTTTTTTTTCTCAACACAAATCATTAAATCATTAAGTTTACCAATTATCTCCGATGAAAAACAGCAGCGAGCAAGAGAAAGACCGGTGATGATAATAATAATAATAATAATAATAAATAATCAATGATAATGACTTGAGAGATGTTAATCGCATCGAAGGCATTCCACGCGTTTCTCGTGGCTTTTCGTTAGGTGTTGTTGTTGTTTTTTCTTCTTCTTTTTTTTTTAACAAGACACAAGGTTTTTTAAAAAATTCCGTAGGCATACAATACACACAATATAATAACGATAATATTATGCACATAGTTAAGAAGATTTCGACGACGGGTGTATTGTGTGATACAGTAGGTATACCGTGTGTGTGTGTGTGTGTGTGCGATGCGGGTAATAGAATTCAATAATAATATGTTGTTCAAAGGTGTATTGTTAAATATAATTGACTACCAATATTATCCAGCTATTGTTTGTCAATTATTAATGTGTGATGCGAGGAGAGGCCAACCTAACCGTACGACGGCATTACCGTATTTAAGGCACGTGCTTTAAAAAAAAAAACAATAACAACATGTCATACACAAAACTTGAATACAGGTCACCAGAGTAGTAATCCCTGTACTAATTGAATGGGAGCCACATTTTTGGGTTTTTTTTTTAAACGCTTTACACTATAATATACTTCCAATACACACAAAAAACGAATCTCACTTGAATTAAACGAAATCGACGAAGACGCGTCCGGCGAACCGAATACAAATAGAAGTAGAAGAAAAAATACAAATTAAACATTCGCACTCGAAATGTGATTTGCTAACAAGCGGCGTTTGAAGGTAATAAAAAAAAAATTGAAAAAATGGTTTTAAGAATAAAAAAAAAACACCAATAATATGGTATATGGTAATCAGCGAACAGTGTTATAATTAAAATAAATGTGTTTTTTTTTAACACTATCCGCCACATTTTGAAACTGATTTGAATCACTTTCAAATTTATTACTACCTTCGTCATCAAACTAGCGGCAAGGACAACAATGCTACAATGTAGTAGACTTTTCTAAACACTAATGATTGACGATTGGTAAACATAATATTATATTAGTTATAAGAAGTTAGTTCAATGCTGTTGTAATATTTCACAAGTTTTAGCTTGTTCGATCCGAAACCGAGAATATTATAATATGTTTTTTATAGACATAATTATTGACAATTTTTTATTTTTTACGACATATTATCAGGGTGATCTAACAGATTAAAAACAACATTTCCACAAGATCCACAAGATTTTTGTATAGAGGTACAATTGGTTGACATATTATCTCCCGTATATTCAACACTTCACTTCTATGCATAATAAATTAGGTTAAAAATAAAAACACCACTCTCTCATTGTGGAGAATAAGTATTTTCAGGTCAATCAACATATCCATAGGTATACAAATATACTTGTTATTTTTACAACGAGCAGTGTTACACTAGTGACATTAATAGGTATTTTTAAATACTCCACTCTGTAGGTGGTTTATACTTTTCAAAAAACCTTATTTCATGCGAATGATTTACACACATCCTAAGCAAAATATTTCTACACGAGGGTTATTTTTCTCACGGATCAACGTTTTGTTAGATAAAAAAAATAAAAACTATTGTGACTAAGAAAGAAAAAAAACGCTATTATTGTTCTTTACATTGTGCATACGTGTACAAGAGGATATGTTTTCGAGACAGGACATAATGCACACAGCCTTATAAAAATGTTTCACATGCCCAACTGTCTTAATAGTAGTCTACAATATTATTATTATTATTATTATTATAATAACGACGGTGGTGGACATGATGAAGTAGGTACAGACTATAATTTTTTGTCTGTTATAAAGGAGAAACATAGTACTATACCCTCTACACGCGTGCATAATAATTGTTACTGAGGTAAACAAGTGCGCTTATTTATATGCATTTTTTTTTTTTTTTTTATAACGAGAGATGGCAAAAGAGAGTGGATTAAATACCGATTACCGGCCCGGTTTAGACACTGAGGGTTTATACTGAAATGCTGCGAATAAATTTACCATCCAGCTATTTTATTTTCTAAATGGGATATTATTATATGCAGGCAGAGAAAGTACATAACAGCGTCGTTGCATTTTTTCACCGGAGAGAGCTGAGCTTGTTGTAAATACTTGTAATTTTTTTTTCCTCGGCGATTTTCGCCGATGATCTATGAGCCTGTGCACGTCTATCATTATCATCATCGATACAGTTGGTGTCGATGACAAATAATCCACAACGCTTTTCTGTATAATGCAGTGTACTGTATACACACTTATACCTTCCTCCTCGTTGTCGTTGTGTATCAACACAGATAATAACAATAATAATATATTCTACACTGTGCTGCTTTTAATATAATAATCACATATCGAATGAAAGTAGTAAGCGAGCGGGACGCGTCCTTGGGAACAGGTTTTCCGACGGGCAAAACGACCT